CAGAAATATCAAAGTGGGACGGAGGGAGTATTTGGTCTAGACCTTCTCACATATACCAAGTAAAGTCCAGATTTGATGGAAATTGGTCTTGCCAACCAATCATTTGATATTTATTGTGGGCAAGAAGGTAGCTGGGAATTTGGGCAGGCAGACCACCAACCAACACAACACAAGATATTTGGAGCTTCTTCACACAGTAGACAGACAACTGGCATTGAATCATACAAACTTTTAGGGATAATAGAAGAATTTGGATGAATTTCTAAAGAAGTTCCATCATTAACAAAAAATAAAAATAAAAAATTCTTGGGATGAGCTCTTGTGTTTTCCTTTTTTCAGACCGTTGCAGGATCAGCTTTATGTAACCAAAAATTGTTCATTATTCCTCAAACGTTGCTTTCATAAATCTTAACTCCATGCAAGAAATATCTTTAATCAATTGCCTAACCTTTCTTGCACGTTGATGTGTACTACACAATAAAAATATATGGAGCAACAGTATTTAAATTGGCAAAAAAAAAAAAAAGAGGTAGTTTTTGTACTAGCAAGAAAGATTTGAATCAGAGGGATTCAGCCTTGAAAGAGACCACATTAAAACATGCAACACCCTTCAAAAGTTGCATGATAAAACGAATTGATCCTTAGATGATATTGCTGAATCATATATTATCACATATCAGAAGAAAAAAAAAAGTGGTATAGTTTAAGCAAAATGTTATCAAAATTGAACATCATGTACAACATTTTGTTCTTATTGGTATATCATATTTGGGAGACTCAAGTTAAAATTTATTGTTGGATGGTAGAAATAAGATTTTTTAATCCCTAAATTACAATAATTTTAATTATTTAAGATATAAATCACTGTCATTTTTTGAATAAGGTGGCAATCAGTGATTGTCATATATAGAATGTAGAAGTAGTTTCCTTTAAAGAAACTGCAGAATTTTCTAACCCTAAGAGAGTGATAAAATTTTTCATTATACTCCCTCCGTCCCACTTTGATAGTCATATTTTTCTTTTTTTATACAGTTTAATAAAAAGTAGTTAATTTTGTTGGAACAATCCATTTAGGTAGCTATTTTCCTAAAATACCCTCACAATAATTAGAGTACAACTTTATGGGAACTTGAATTGATGGTAAAAAAAGAACCAATTCTCATTAAATGGGGTAGGTTTATAGTAACAATAATTTACATTGAATAAGGATATTTTTAAAAAATTAAAATATAACTATATTCTTTAATTGAAAAGTGAATTATAATTTGGGACAGACGAAAATAAAAAATAAAACTATTAAAGTGGGACTGAGGGAGTATTAACCTTCACTGCAGGGCTCTTAAAATACACTACTCCGTTGCTAAGGCCAAGAAAAGGTGCTTGTAAAAAGTTTGACTTCAATAGTCAATAGGTATTAGGTAATGGAAAAGATTCATTGTCGAGGTAATCTTTTGGATTACCGATATAGATCATTTCACCGACAGATTCGCACGCAATGAAGTGTGATTGGGGGGGGGGAAGGGGGGCTGGGCTAGGCCCCTCTCGGCCGGAAAAAACACACTGCGCCTGAATTTTAATTGGACCAACAAAGTTTGAGCCTAAATAATTAAACCTGATTGTGATCCGTATATGAGTATAATTATATATGTAAAATATATATAATAATATCTATAATTTATGATTATCTATATTATATATAAAAGGAGAGGAAGGATCTGGAATAAACAAAAATTTACCACTTTATATATTTTTTAAACCACCATTGATGATGAGAGAGCTTCTAGTATAAACAAAAATCTATCTATTTTTTATAATTATATCTACTACCAATATGATTTTTTATCAAGTACTATGTATTTTTTTATACTTTATTTTTAAACTTATTTAGTATATCTTAATTTTAATTAGCAACTTCCAATTATGGTTATGAATTTTACTTTTATTTTGGTGAATTTTTTACATATGTAATTTCAAATATATAAAACCAATATTTTTTAAAATAATTTCAATAAATATACTCAAAATATTTCACCAATATTTTTTCTATTAGTTGCACTCACATTAGTGTGTTCCTTGAATACTAATACATATTATGACATAAAATGTTAATAAATTTTATGTAAATTTGTATTAATTCATAATTATAAAATATATATTATATATATTTAATTATGAGTTTGGGTCAAATTCAATTTGAATCCAAAATTCATGTAATAGTGTGAGATGAATTTGAACATTTTTTATTTGAATCTGAAACCCGAAAATTCATATAACTCATATGCCAAATTTGAATTTGCTGAAACCAGACTTAAAAAGCTAGATTGACACCACTACACTAACACTAAACAATAGAGGTGTGGTAATATAGTGTGATCAAAGAACTCTAATCAAATTGTCATTAAATTCATAACTTCTTCCCAAAGAAAAGAAAGTATAAACCAAAATTAGAAAAAAAGCATACTGAAACATGAAAATGAAAACGAGATAAAATTAAATTCAGATAAAAAATAAAATAAAATTAGATTAAGAAAACCAAAAAGTGAAATATTAAATTATTGGTGTTGTTTAGTCTTCCAAGTTCTGACACATCCAAAGACTAAAGGAACGCACTTTCTAAAACTTGGACGACTTCACACTGCAACACTGTCTGACAATCACGTGCTGTCTGTCCTCCCTCCCGCCATTCCAATCCAAATTCTCCTTTATTAATAATTGGGATAATTGCAGAAACCTCCACTGAGGTTTCTGACATTTGCACTGATCCCCTTGTAGTTTGAAAAATTACATTGACCTCCCCTGAAGTTACTAATCCTTTGCAAATTCAGTCCAAACGATTAAAATATTATTTTAGATAATGGAATTAGAATTTTTTTTATCAAATTTGTCCTTTGTACTACTTGTCCAAGTAATGACAAAATACTACAAATTAATTAGCAATTAATAAACTTGAAGGAATATAGTTTATAGGCAACTACGCAATACCTATTTAAAGTATCGGCTCTTTATGGGTATTTTATTTTCAAACATTTAATTTAATACAAATATTTACGCTCAAATACATATTTGTATTTACTTTCAAATATTTAATTTTTGTTAAATACAAAAACTACCAATCTCTCTTCCGTAAAAATATTAATATAACACTTTTCAATTTTAGTTACAAACATTTATGTATTTAACATAAATTAAATGATTCAAAATAAAATATCCATAAAGAGCCAATACTTTACTCATGTAATGGATGAAAGTCATAAAGAATTAATACTTTATGGGCCATTTATTTTTAAAAAATATTTAATTTATATTATATAAATAACTTATCGATTTCCTTTTTGTAAGAATATTACTGTAACACTTTTTGAATTTTACTTACAAACATTGATATATTTATTATAAAATAAAATGTTTGAAAGTGAAATATCCATAAAAAATCGGTACTTTAAATGAATAATGCATGTTTGTCTATAAAGAGTTGGTAACTATTTAAAGTACCGATTCTTTAAAGGTATTTTACTTTCAAACATTTAATTTAATACAAATATTTACGCTCAAATACAGATTTGTATTTACTTTCAAATATTTAATTTTTATTAAATACAAAACCTACCAGTCTCTCTTCCGTAAAAATATTAATATAATACTTTTTCAATTTTAGTTACAAACATTTATGTATCTAACATAAATTAAATGATTCAAAATAAAATGCACATAAATAGGGAATACTTTATTCGTGTAATGGATGAAAGTTATAAAAAAATCAATATTTTATGGGCCATTTATTTTTTAAAAAAAAATATTTAATTTATATTAAATAAATAACTTATCGATTTTTTCTTTTTGCAAGAATATTACTATAACAATTTTTGAATTTTACTTACAAATATTGATATATTTATCATAAATTAAATATTTGAAAGTAAAATACCCATAAAAAACCGATACTTTAAATAAGTAATGCGTGTTTGCCCATAAATTATACTCTTTAAAATTTATTAATTATTAATTGATTTATAGTACTTTGTCGTTCATTGGATATGTAGCACAAAGGGCAAATCTGATACAAAATTCTAATTTCACTCCATAAAATAATATTTTAATTGTTTGGACTAAATTTACAAAGGATTAGTAATCTCAGGGGAGGTTAGTATAATTTTTCAAACCACAAGGGAGGTCAATGCAAATGTCTGAAACCTCAGGGAAGATTTATGCAATTATCCCTTATTAATAATTGGGATAATTTTATAAACTACCCCTAAGGTATCTGATAATTTAAATAAGCTCCTTTTAATTTTCAAAAATTACACTTCCCTCTCATAGTTTGATGCTTTTAAAAACTGAACCTTAGATTTGGTAAAAAAATTTAAACGAATACCTCTAAACACCCTCACTGTATAAAGTTTAATTACTTTATAAAGCAATAAGATATTTAGTACAAGGGTAAGGAAAGTTATCAAGTTTTCAATACCAAAATTTTATTATTTGGTAAGCAATTGTCTATCAAATTATGATAAATTACTTTTAATAATACTTTATTGAAAATACATATTTTTTCTAAATTAGGGAAGAAACTATCATCATAATGATTTTAAAGTTAGTGAATTTTTTGATTGGTAAAACTGTCACAGTTTGATAGTAGTTTTGAGTCTTTTTTTGAGTTAGTGTCATTAAAAGTTCTTTAAAAAGGTCATTAATTTTAATATTTAGGATCAGTGTTTATGTTTCTATAATTTTAATAAAAAAATATAAAAATAAGGAATAAAAAAAGAGAAAGAAAAGAAAAAATAATTATAAATCCCATTTTTCGTATATGCATATTCAGTAAGGAAGTTTTATTAAAATATTAAAATTAATACTGCCGTTTTAGATGGATGACTTGGTAAGTGTAAATTTTAAAATCTTAAAGAAACTAATTGGAATTATAGAAACCTCAGGGAGGTTTCTGAAATTATCCCTTAATAATTCCTCAAAATTCACGCGCCTTCTTTCACTCTCTCCCCCTCCTCGTTTTGTAAGTTTTTTTTTGCTTTTCTGCTTTATGTACTTTTGTATACACTACTGTTCTCTCCCGTGCTTGCTACTCACCGTTCTTGTTCAAAGTTCAAAACTTTCTGCAAATTATAGCAGTTTCTGTGGGAGTTTTTACTCCCCATATCTGGTTTCACAAGCAAGGTGTGTTATTATCCTTTCTTGGGCTGACATTTTTCCTCCATTTTGGTGTTCTGTTTCAGTCTAACAAAAAATTCCTTATGTTTCTTTTTTTTCTGGGCTCATTGATTTTGCTCTTTCTTTTCCTTTTTTTTTTGGTTTTTTGGGTTGCTCCTTTTGGACGTCTAGTACTAATTTGTGATGTGGGTTTTTCTCATTTTTGTGTAATTTTTTCTGGGTTTTTCTTTTATTTATGTAATTTCTTTGGTACAAACTGGTGCATGTTTGTCTCTCGACTTCTTGTATGATCACCCCTTTGTTCTTACCTACAATGGGCTTTAATTATTTCCCATTTAAGCTGGAAAATCTTAGTCCTGTTTAAGTTTCTTGTGTGTCATGTTGTTTTTTGGGTCTCTCTAAAGTTGAAAGTTACCTTTTTGGTCTATTCATTCCTCTATTATTTTCATATTTTGCCAGTGTATTTTCTCCCCATCTTTCCTCGCTGTATTATTGTTTGATTGTTTTTCTGCAAAGCTACATTATGGGTTTTGTTCAACTTCTTTCACTTCCTCTTTTTGTAGCTCATTGAGTTTGTTGTTTTGCTCACTTTTTTTTTCGGTTGAGGTCTAGTGCTACTTTGATGTGGTGGATTTTTCTTATCCTTGGGCAATTTTTCTGGTTTACTTTTCTACGCTGGTGCACGAATGCGTTGGTTATTCCCTTATTTTAACTTGCCATTGGCTTTTTCTTTCGTATTGTAGCCGGAAAATGGTGCTGCTACTAATTAATTTCCGTTTTTGTCAAATTTCTCATTCTCGTGTGCAAAAGTTCACTTTTTTTTTGGTTCTTCTCTTCCTCTGCTCTGTCACATTTGGTCGTTGTAAGTCTTTTCGCTGTTCTTCTCTTAATTTATTCTTGTTTGGTTAATTTTGCCCCTAAGCTGCATTGTTGTTTAGTTGAGCTTCTTGTAGTTCTGTTATTTATTTATTTATATATTTTGTTAAATCATGCACATCTGATGCAAACTTCAAGCTGTATACTCGAACACTTAGGCTGATCTGGTGGTTTAATGTTTATTTTAGGAAAATGGGGTTCATTTCCCGAAAGGTTTTCCCAGCATGTGGGAATATGTGTGTATGCTGTCCTGCTTTGAGGTCAAGATCAAGACAACCTGTTAAGCGATACAAGAAACTGCTAGCTGACATCTTTCCCAAGTCCCCTGTAAGTTTTATATTTTGCTAGAATTTGGTTTGGATTTCTGTTCTGAGCACTATGATATGATGGAAAAAGCTACTTTTTGTACTCTACATGTGGAAACTTGAATAGCAAATATTATCAATTATTGCTCGTCCATTATGTTCATGGTTTATAAGTTGCAACTCAATTTTTAGGAGTTTTTTTTTTTGGCCGGTGTGGTAGATAGATGATTGGAGGCTTGGAGCGCTTGTGAACTTTTTCCTGCAGAAAAGTTGAAATATGTTGTCAACTGAGAATGTGTTTTAATTTTACATACTTAAGTTAATGGCGTACTTTGATTTCTGCTGAGTTGGTAACTAACTGAATTGAACATTTGGTATTACTCAAGGAGAGGGCAAGTTCCCTTTTGCCATTCTCCTTTTAACATTCACATGTTGTACAAGCCAGCTGGGATAGATAATAGCCAAGAATTACTGATGTTTACACTTCTTTGTGCAGGATAGCCCTTCCAACGAGAGGAAAGTTGTTAAATTATGTGAATATGCGGCAAAAAACCCTTTCAGAATCCCTAAGGTACTTAATTTTCCTATATGCTATACGTGTATATGGATGGATTCTGGAAGTGATGAAAGTTTCCTGTTTCCAATAGATATGCTGACTGTAATTAAGAAATACTACTGTAAAACTGATGAAGATAATTAGCATCTAAAATATATCATGGACTCTGTAATAAGACAGATTCTACAAAAAACTATAGAAGAAAGATGGATTTTGCCATATAAACATATTCAGTTTTTCTAACTTGTTATTGACATTCTAATTTCCATCAGATAACCAAGTATCTTGAAGATAGGTGCTACAAAGAACTAAGAAGCCAGAATATCAAATTTGTTGAGATCGTTGTTGAGGCTTATAATAAGTTGCTCAGCATTTGTAAGGACCAAATGTGAGTTGCTATACTGATAGTTCTTTGCATATTTTATCTCTTGTTCCTCTGCATGTTAGCGATTTTATGAACATACCTTGGCATGAAATAAATCTCTTTTAGTGTTTGCTGCCATTATTTTAAGGGACCAGGTCTGGGACCTTTAGCTCTTTTTTTTTTTTGGCTTTAAAGTGCTAACTTGGAATTTAAGAATGGCTAAGCTCTTATACATTTTTGTCTCTGCCTTAAAGATTCTTGTCTTCTCTTAGAAGTGAAGTTCCAGAAGATTTGCAGTCAAAAAGGGAGAAAAAAACTTTAACATTTTTTAACTTTCAGGGCATATTTTGCTATCAACCTATTGAGCCTAGTGGTTGAACTACTTGATGAGTCGAAGCAAGATGCTGTCAGGATAATTGGATGCCAGATGCTAACTCAGTTTATTTACAGTCAGGTGAATTTTGTGCTTGAGCTATATTGCAAATACTGTGTGTTTGGATAGCACAAATATGTCAAATAATATTTCACTTGCATCATAAATACATTTCTCAACTCACCTTTTTATATTTTCAATTACCTTTTTATCTCACATACATCACATCACAAAAAGTGCTACAGTAATTATTCCAAATAATATTTCAAATAATACCCTATCCAAACAAATCCACGTGTGATGGAGGGGGGGCAAAATATTTTGACTTGTTAGACAAAACTATTCTCGTGCCATTGGATCCTTGCTAGCTTATCAAGAAGTCCTCGGTCAATCTATGTTGCTAGATTTGTTTTTCCAAAACAATTGCAAATCATATGTAATTGTTGTTTATAGTTGGGCAATAGCTTTATTCCAACATTTATATTGAGAGTTGTTTCATACAGCTTTACTGTGATGACAATTTTTCTTGCTCCATCTCGATCAAATTTAAATGCTTTAAATGCTCCACCCAGTACATCACATGGTTTCATTAGCAGATATTAATTTGATTTGCAAAAATTACCATGGCCTGCATTTAGATGCAGTTTATCTGCCAACTATTTTATCATTTATTTTTGGTGGTGCCATTTACGCTATCGTCCATATCCTCACAATGCCTGAACAGGTTGATGGAACTTATTCATACAATTTGGAAAGTTTGGTTCACAAAGTTTCTATCATTGCTCATGAGACTGGAGAAGAACCTCAAAAACACCGCTTGAGAGCGTCAAGTTTGCAGTCTCTCTCTGCCATGGTGATTGGACTTTTTTATTTTTATTGTGCATTTAATTCAAAATTTTCTGGATATTTCTTTCTGTTTCTTTGCAATTCACTCTCAAATCTACTAATGAACTTCGTAATCACTTGGTTTCTGCCTTTCTTGAAGATATATACTTTAACTGGTTTGCTTCTCCTTTGCAGGTATGGTTCATGGGGGAGTTTTCTCATATTTTTGCTGCTTTTGATAAGGTTGGTCTTCTTTTGGCTTGTTATTTGCATCTATTTTGATAGTGCAGTATCTATTTCTCCCCCATGACTTTGTTAATTTTTTCTTTCCTGCTTTTTGATGTATGAAAGAAAGAGACATATTTGGGGAGTAACTTCTTGCAAATGAATACCCCCCCTCCTAAGGAGGAAATTTTGAATGATACAGAATTATGTTGTGCATAGATCCTGGGCTGCCTTATCTAGACATAATGGCTTGTATGTAACCTTTAAGACTCGCAATTGCCAATTCTGACTTTTAAATGGGGAGGAGGTTGCATTTTTTCAAATTCTTGATGTCATCATGGAGAGTTATCGTGCTATAAAAATGTAGGGCCTGTTTGGAACTTGAGTTTTTTGGGAGTTTGTCTAAAACATTACTGTAGTGCACTGTAGAAGTTTTTGAAAAAATTTTGTAGAAGTTTTTGTAAGTAGAAAAATTTTGTAGAAGTTTTGTAAGGTGAAATTTTTTTTCCTTTTCTCTTTCTCTTTCTTTTTCTTTTTCTTTTTCTTTCTTTCCTTTTTCTTTTCTTTCTTCTTCTTCTTCCCCGTTACCTCCTCCACCTCCCGCCACCCCTCTCCTCCCTTTCCCCTTCTCCTCCTCTCCCCCCGCCACCCCATCTGCCCCGCCTTCTCCCTCAACCCTGCCACCCCCTCCCCCTTCCCCCTCAGCCCGGCCACCCCCTCCCCCCCCGCCTTCTCCCTCAGCCCACCACCCGCCTCCCCTTCCCCCTCTGCCCCGCCTTTCCCCTCTGCCTCGCCACCCCTCAGCCCGACCACCCCCTTCCCCCGCCTTCTCCCTCAGCCCCGCAATCTGCAGCAGATTTTTTTTTTTTTTTTGTGCATTTTCTCTCCCCATCTCCTACCCGCCACCCTCTCCTCCCCTCTGCCCTTCCCCCTCCCTCTTCCCTCGCCCGACAGTCAATGCCCAGCAATCAAGACGCAATCAATGCCCAGCAGAAAATTTTTTTTTCCGCATTTTCTCTCCCCCATCTCCTACCCGCCACCCCTCTCCTCCCTTTCCCCCTCTTCTCCCCTTTGCCCTTCCCCCTCCCTCTTCCCTCACCTGGCAGTCAAGGCGCAGTCAATGCCCAACAGAAACTTTTTTTTTTTGCAATTTTTAGCCTTCCCATCTCCCCCCCTCCCCCTCCCCGCAATCTGGTGCAAATGGGTGGTGGGGGAGGAGTGGGGGAAAGGCGTTCTGCATATTCCATGGTTATCGCAACAAGGCGTTCCAGAAATGCCTTGGGCCAGAATAACACTAAAGAGTTTCATCTGTGGGTTTTCACAGACGCCGGAGTTTCATTTGTGGGTTTTACAAAATAACACTTAAGAGTTTCATTTGTGGGTGGTGGGGAAGGAGGGGGGAAAGGGAGAGGAGGAAAAAAAAGGGGTCATAAAACTGGGTAAAGGGGAAGGATGGCGGGGAGGATGAGGGGGAGAGGGAGAAAGGCAAAAAAAAAAAAAGACCCCGACGCCAGAGGTGGTGGTTGGCGACGGAAGTGGTGGTGGGTTGGGATGGGGGAGGAAGAAAAAGAAAAAGATAAGGGTTGTGTTTTTTTTTTTTTTTTTTGTAAATTTTTGGTATTTTAAAGTGTGTAGGTTAAAAACTTTAATAAGTTTTTGGGATTCCTGTAGCAAAAGTTGTTAAAAAACTAGTAGCATACAAACTTGTGAAAAAACTGAGCTTCCAAACAAGCCCGTAGTTGCTTAATTACTTCTTGAGCTTTCTATGGTTGAAAGATGCAAAAATAACTGGGAAATGAAAATGCATTAGAAGTGACAGTGGATGACTTCCATTACAAAATAAATGGTTAATGTTAACAGTCAAATGGCTAGAGATTGTTTCATTCTTAACTGGTTCAGTACATTGTCAAACTATTACAAATCTGTATGTTCTAATTGTCAGCACTGTGCCTCTTATGGCAAGTGAAGGTTTGCCTCTTATGCAAATATTCGTTTGAGAGGGGGTAATTTTCTTGGGAATAAACACATGTAAGCTTCAATTTTTCTTTCGCTTTCTTTCTTTTGCTGTGGGAGGTGGTTGAAACATTTGGTAATCTAATGCTGATATGTTTACAACTGATGAATTGATAGCAATTTAGAGACTTTTTTAGCAGGAATTCTATTTCTCTGCATCTGTTTGCTATTGATTCAATGAGAAGACCTTGCATCTGATCAGTCACTCCAATTCTCTCAAGTCTTATCTGAAAATTTACTGTTTAAGTTGTTGCATATGCCATCAACTTGCCTTTTTGGTGTTGCTGGTGTTAATTTTCACTTTGATCAATATGTATCTGAAGTGCTTATCTGCTCTCATTTGTTTAGTTCACTATGAGAAATCTCTCATGAGGATCAATTCATGAAGATTTGAATTGGAACCATGGGATAGTGGTCCTTTTTTAGGACGATAAGGGAGAGAATTTGTCACATGAGCAAGTTAAGATTGCATGTCAATGGCTAAAAAGAACCTGTGTTAGCCATCTTTACCTACAGGAGATAAGGGATATCTCCTGTTTGGGGTAGCTATTTATTAAAATAACATGGAATATAAGTCCTGCAAAAGAAAAAAGGGCCCGTTGATATGCTTGTTGAATTCAGTCTCGTCAATTATCTAAATGCCTTGATATAGGAATTTTCCATTGTTTCACCGTTTATTAGAAGCTTATCTTAAGAAGTACATATTAGTACTGAAGCTTCTGTATTGCTTTTTCAGATTGTTCATGCTACACTAGTAAATTATGACCCCGATAGACACAATGAAAATGATGAAGATGGAGGTGAAGCACATCATAATTGGGTTGATGAAGTAATTAGATGTGAAGGAAGGGGTGTTGGTGAATTTAGCCCTAGTAGTATCAACATCAGACCTCGACCAGACTGGAAAGATCCTTCTCAATTAGTCAGGTCAGTTTGTTGTAGGAGAATTCAATTAGCGAGGTCAGTTTGTTGAAAATAATGGGTGGAACTCTATGGATTTTGTGGATTGCAGAGAAGAGGTTGAGAAACCAAATATTTGGGCTCAGATATGTGTACAGAGGATGATGGAGCTGGCGAAGGAAAGTACGACAATTCGCCGTGTATTAGATCCAATGTTTGTCTACTTTGACAGTGGAAGACACTGGGTTCCACCCCATGGGTTGGCGTTGGTAGTTCTGTCTGATATGTGCTACTTTATGGAAAGTTCAGGTGAGCCACCCTTCTACTGGATTGATGTGGTTGGTTTTTGCTCAAGCTATTTGTCTCTTTAGGTCTTCTAATACATTGCACTGAGGAATTTCTGTCTTTTTCTTTTCGCAATAGTACAAAATTCCAAAATTTCCGATCTGTCACTGTCACTTTATAACTCCCTGCCAAATCGGCAAACACTTCAGTTAATCAACTCTTCTGCTCCCCGAACGGCGACCTCTCCAATTCGCTGCTAATTCTGCCACCATCTTCAACCTGATATCTCCCATCTAATTAATCCGAGTCAATGGCTGAGCAAAACAGCGATTGGCGGGCGAAAGGAATCAAAGCATCCCAGAAGAAGTAATCTTCGGTGACATTCTTGTAAGATTGCCTTCAAGAAGTCTAGCCAATTTCATTTTCATTCGCAAATCATGGTGTCAATTTATAAGATCTCCATCGTTTATTAGAACCCACCTTAGTAATTGCTTTTCTAGTTATAAAGATGATCCATCAACTGGGTATCTTTTTCATATGTTTTTGGACGGGGAAAAGCGAGAAACTGCATACCATCTGTTATCTGATGGGCCTAATGGATAAGCGAAGGTCTTAGAATTGAAACCCCCCATTGATTTTGTATCTGGGTCATGTTCGGTTGTTGATTCATGTGCTGGATTGCTTTGCCTCACAGAAAATGATGACGTATTATACGGTCGGGTTGTCTATTTGTGGAACCCTTCAGTTAGGAGAATTATAACCATTAGGAATTCTAGCTGTGAAGGGATATCTAAGGAATTTAGTTGGATTTCCCCTGGTTGTGGTTACGATTTTGATGCAGGTGTCTTTAAGTTGGTTAGGATTATATATGATAGCCCAAATTGTGAAGCTCCCTATGACCTGGAGAAGACTGAGATTGAGGTCTACAATCTGAGTACAGGTTCTTGGAGAAAGATTGAGAATTTAGTCGTTAATTGGATTATTTACTGCCAATTGCGAATTTTATATGTGAATGGGTTTGTTAATTGGCTTGCATTTCATCCTGAACGACACGATGAAGATTTGATTGTGGCTTTTGATGTTAAAAGTGAAGATTTTAGGACACTAGAGTTGCCGGATTTAGAGATGGAGGGGGATTATAGAGGTCCATTGCTCAAGGAATACAAGGACATGCTTGCATTTTTTGTTTGTGGAAATTTTGCAGCTCTTGAAGGGACTGGTACTTGGAGTTTGTGGGTGATGAGAGAGTATGGTGTGACCAACTCTTGGGAGAGATTGTTCAATGTGGTAACGGAACAGAGGATAGTTTGGTCTCTAGGGGTTACTAAAAACTGTGATATTCTGCTTCTCACCCCTGATTCAAAAGTGGTGGCATATGATTTTAAGGAGCAGGAAGTGAAGAATCTTGGGCTTCCTAAGTATTGCCCGCATAGCTGTTTCTTGATAACATACATGGAAAGCTTGCTCCTACTGGATGAACAAGCTAACCTGGATGGACATATGGATTAGAAATATGAACAAAAGGAAGAGGAAGCTGTGGATCAAAAGAAAAGGCAAGATGATTTCAACTTATCTGTTTGTGTTTCTTAATTGGTTGTGTTTACTTGTCTGCTATTTTGTATGCAGATCTGTTGTGCAACAAATGCCTACCTATGAATTTTTGCTAGTAGTTTCACAGCATGTTTAGAACCACGGACTATTTGCATTTCAAGCTCCTTTGGTCTTATCTTGGCTTAGTTAAATGTACATAATCTGCAGTTATTGCTGTTCTTTGTTTTTTGAACTGATTCTACTGATAGAGGAAATTCTTGTCCTTCAAAGTGAGTATCGTTATGACAAAACCCGAAGTGTTGATCCCTTATCTCTGCTAATATAGTTACTTCTAAGCTTTATCAGATATATTTGGATCCCAACTATACCTTTCCTCCCTTCAGGCTTAGGTTGTTTGATTTTTAATGTGGGGAAAGTTTTGAATTTTAAATGTCTTTCTGCATAAAAGGGCTTCATCTGCTCTTCTCAACATATGTTTAGAGACTCTGGAGCTTTGATATGCATCAACATCTTTGTATCTGATGCTAAATGAAATTTTTGTGGAATTTTGATTTCACTTGCTTTAAAATTTGTATTTATCCAATGTCACATTGATATTTAGCTTTCAGGTATTTCTCTTCTTTCGCTATCCTTTTGCAGGCCAAGAAGAATGGATTTTGGAGCATACTGTTAGCTATCCTTCTTATGCTGTATCTGAGCATCAATGACTTGCTTTGAAGATATTGGACTTTGAGATCTGAGGAAGTTTGATGCTTATAAGGAGACTTGTGTCTTCATATCATTATGTTGTGAATCTTTTACTAGACAATTAGAGGTAAAACCAATAGCCTTTTTTCTTTTTCTTTTTTTTTTTTGTGTTTTTGGGTCAAAAATGATATTTAACTCTAGGTCTTTCTTGTTGACTGGGAAGAATGTGTGTAAACAGAAAGGATGTTCCTTGGGATTATGCTTCTCATGGATTTCTTCCGTGATTAAAATTTCTCTCTCTCTCTCTCTCTCTCTCTCTCTCTCTTATATTCTAACATGAATAAAGCATTACTTTTAATTTCGATGGATATCATACAGAACACATTTCTAGTTCAATATGCCATGCAGACATTCTGCATAATGGATGCCTAATGCACTAGTTTTTTGTCTAAACTATTGTATACTTATGTGTCCTGTATATGTTCTAAACTCAAGCTGGACTTTTTATGAGCTGCAAATTCAGAGAGGGTGAAAAATGTCTTTATGCATTGAATAACTGATTGACTGTGCAAAAGTAGGATGGGACGTAAAGAAGAAAGCTAGGACTGGCTGTAGAAGACCGACATTGATCTTGTTTTATGTAAAACTTCTTTGTGTGCGACCTCATATGTGGTTCTTTTTTCATGGAGTGGAGGCCTGAAGGCCATTTTGTTTTAGGAGGCATATTACCCAAATTGATCATGTTGTTTCTTGCTCAAATGAGTTTTTTAAAGTTCTACTTTGAACTCCACTGGATGAGCAATGGAGTGGCACTTTTTAATTGCAACTAGAAGATGAGATACAGAAACTTCCCCAAGCTTGTAAGAGGTCTTTGCTAAATTCTAAAAGTTGTTTTAAATCTTTGAATAGGTGATAAAGGCTTGTATTATTGCTAGGTTTTGTTATAGGAAATTCTAGCATCTTTCTTTCTGTGAAGTAGGTCTTATTCTGAGTTAAAAGCCAACTTTTTATCTTAGCTTTTTGGGCATCTTTGGTACCACAAAAGCTCTACCCACCCGCTCTCGGAGAATTTCCCCTTCCTTACATGGTGCTATGAGAAAGACTCCTAATCACCATTTCTTTGTTAACTGGCAGCCAGCTTTCCGTTTTTTTTTTGGTATCACACTAGCACCAGGCACTAGCACAGCTCAATGCTAGTGACTCGGTTTACTACTCTTTTATATGCTTCAACTATGTTGATCCAAATTTAGACATTAGGCATTTTCCTATTACTCATATACAGTTTTTCCATCCAGTGTCTGGTTATGGTTCGGATTTAGCACTGCTGTCTATTAGACGACCTACCTTCTATCTTAAACGATTATTCTCGCCAACAGCTCATATGTTCTTGCAATTTTCTTTAATGAGTATCAAATTTTCTTAAAATGCCTCAGTCTTTCATGCTGGACTCCTGCTAAATGCTGAGAGCTACACTATTCTGACACCTTTATGTGTGTCCATTGATGATTTCCACGGCCAAAATCTAGAATTTGTGTTCTGGATATATGTTAGACATTTCCTAATCATGCATCAACACTTAGCACACTTAGTGATTGTAATTATACAGGTAAACAGCATGACTAAATATGAGCATCTCATCTATTGAATAGAGTCGAAAGGGAAGTTGCTGAGTTTTCTTCATATTTTGCTATGCTTTATCCTTTGAATATTTTACAGTTAGATAATATGGGTTAGATAATCCCCATACATAAGTATTTTATCCAGAAGAGGCTTGCAAATCTTCTGAAAAGCCAATGTATTGATCCGGTGCCTCTTTAGACTTTCTCTAACATCTCTGGCATCCATGTTTATTTTCCTTAAGCTTTCATAGTCTGATACAGTTTTTAAGAAATTTCGCTTCTATATCACCTGATTTAGCTATATAAAATTTTGTTTTCTCAAAATTCATTTTAGCATGCCAACAAATTTACATACTGGGGAAGAGATTTTGAAGCTCTAGATTTTTTAGGTTCACAATTTAGACCTAGTGATGACGTATTCCTTTTGGCAGTTGCTTCCCTTGGTGACACTTCAATTGGTCGTGGTAAAACTTGGCAAGACTTCTGCAGTTCTCTAGTAAAACTTTCTTGCATAGCTATGATTTTTTTTTTTGGCATAGCTATGATTGATTCTTAAACTCCATAGTGTATATATATAACAAGGAGTAATACTGTCTTATTTTAGCAGAAATAATTCTCGGTATGTTCAACGTGTAAGACTTCTTATTCGAGTTTCTTTGGTTGGAAAATCATCTTGAGCATATCAGCAAGTAGGTGTGATATTATTACTCTGTACATAAATGCTATTTTTGCTTCCTCTGCCATTTGGAGAACCCATAATGACCTCGTTTCTTAGAATATTATATGTATCTGTTCAAGAAATATATCTTATGGTTCTAATATTAAGGGTCAATAAATCTATTGCTTTAGTCACATAAATTATTCTGAGTTCCTTCTAATCTAATCTTTGAAACTCATAATCCTTGACCGCAAGCTATAATTTTCTATCCTCCAAAATTAACAGCAATATTCATTCTGATATCAGCATATCTATATTATAGTGCAGTAGAACTATAGTCTTTAGTCTATTATAGTTGTTTTACTATATTTTCATTTTGTTGAATGAATTTGTTTGACTTTGTTCTGAAACTTTTTTTTCTTGGGTTGCTTCTGTTTTCAGGTAATTGTTGCCGTCAAAGTTCGCTCCATCTGAAACTTGTGGACCCAGTGATAGGTGGAGGTATTACATCACTGGCATTGATTGTATTCTTCCTACAACTGTATTAACAGCAGGTAAATCTGTTACAAATTCATGCAAGCATAGATGATTGGCAACTGTTAGCATTGGTTCTTTTAGCATTAAAGTTTGATTCAACAACTTCTTTTTGGTCAATGCATCAAGATTGATTGCAAATTTAATCATGGTTTTGCCATTTGTCATTTTTTTCTTGACACGTTATTGCTGATTGAATTACTTTTCTTACTTCTTTTGACTCTGTGTGAGTCCAATCCTTCTTTGTGGTCCATTGGCCCTTGTTCAACCGTCTAAAAAAGTGGCCCAAAAAAGTATTATAGATCATGCTAGATCATGTCTTTCGTGTGTTTTTTTTCTTGTGAATTTCCATTAAATTTGAAGACAGTTGCTGAGCTGTGCTTGTTTCTTCTTTTATCTCATGCTAAATGGTAATTTCTCCTAAATGCTTGGTTCATTGCTAATTAGATAATGTTTTGTACAGTTTCTGTCGGTGCCTGCGGTAGGACATTTTGATTATGGTTTTAACTTTCCAGCTTAAGTACTACAGCTGGAATAGCTTAAATCCGTCACATTTTATATGTTTATATTCAGACATTTTGAAAGCATGACCTTTAACTTCTGAAGTGCTTTTCCTTATCAATCTTGTTGTTTATGCAAAGAAAGAAAGAAATGTTGCATTGGTAATGAAAGTTACTCACTTTGTCCTCTATTATTTTCAGGTATGGCAGAGAGTTTCCACTTGTGGGGGGAGTTATTATGAGTTAGGTAAAATTACCTAAGCCTGCTAAATTTATTCTCATCTTAGTGTTCTGGTCACTTAACTATTAGAAGTTTCAGATAGGTCAATAATTCTGTATACAAATGGTCATTCGGTCCATTATGGCCATTGAATTTCTTTAATTTGACTAAGTTTAGGGGCATTTATTTCCACAGATGATACTCTCATAAAAGAAAGATAAAAGACAGAAGAAGAAAAATCAATCAATTTGTGTTTTCCTTATTCTTGTTGACATATTTCTTCTCCATCTCTTTTCATTTTCTTAACCATGTTATATGGTAATTTTCTTTGCTTCTATAATTTAATTTATTTTATGTAGAGGTAAAAATCCTAGATTTAACTGAATGAAGAAGTCTTGACAATGACGTTAGACAGAATGACCAATTGTTGAGGGATTTAGTAGTTGGGTGAGCTATTTGAAGGTTTTAAGAATTCAGTGGCCAAAACTCTACGATCATAATATTTTAGTGACATGTTAGATATTTTATACAATCTTATAGGTAATGTGATAATTGGAAGTTTTAATTATTAGTCCTTTTCAATGTTGGACTGCTTATTAATTTGCTTGTCTTTTCTTGATTTATGCACGTTTGGTAATTGATTTGAAGTACTGATATGCTTATTTTGCACGCTTGACTGTTGCTGCAAATGAACCAGTTAATGATGTACAGTTCTGGAAGTGCAGCATACACATGAAATG